TTATTACCATGATCAGGCAATTTTGAATAAACATAGTTTTTATTTTTCTATATCGCTAGGAAGATTTCTAATAATACGTTCTTCAAATTCGTGATATTTGCTCGCTCGCTCGATTGATAACCATTAAGGATCGAATTTTTGTTCGTGCTTTACCGATAATTTCATCGAACGAAGAAATTGGAGTCCACTGGACGTAACAATTGTATTTATTTCATTTTGTTCTAATTATTTTTAATTTTTGTTTTAATTATTTATTAAAAATTCGACGTTTTCGTATACATCTAATATAACTACTTTGATTTGTTATTAGACGCAGGTTGAAAAAAGATTGTTAAAGGTGCGTATTCGGGGAGACGCTATTAGCGCTGTTTGTGTTCATTCTATTCTTGTTTTACGTCTAATAAACGATGATAGAATGACAACAAATAGCGCTAGTAGTGTCTCTCCGAACACATCTTAAAATTGAAAAATGCTACACTTTCACTACAAATAACAATGAATTAATTGAAAACATAAACAAAGAACTCGAACAAAAAAATACATAAATTAAAAAAGAAAGGAAAAGTAAAGAATAATATCTTATCTAACATATTGCAAATGTGAATATAAAAAACTCGATTCAATCTTTTAATATTGAATCATGTATGTGCAATATGCTTTATAAGGTCAATATCAGACTATGCATTGAAGATTGAAAGATTGAAATTTGATCAATCAAAATAAAAGGAGCTAAATTTCTTTGTTCTCATTGGTCAAATGTCAATCATTAATCTTTAATCTCAATCTTCAATGCATAGTGTGATTTCACTTTGAGATGTAATTTATTAAATTTTTGTCTGCATTACTTATTTCTCATTTATTTTATGTCTCTGGCGAAAATTTTTCTTAGAATTTTTCAGATCATTTTTTAGAATTTTTCATATTTTAAATTTATAAAGATTTTTTGATAAATACTTCATAATTTCTCAGATTTTCTTTCTTTCTTTTTTCAGAAATTATAGAATGAGAAATCTTATTATATTCTAGGATTTTTTTCATTTTCATAAAGAGTTACGCGACACTACTATCAAAGGGATATAGTGAGTTAAATTCTCGAATTCAAAAATCATCCAGGGATATTGAATAAAAGTCGCAGCATTAAAAGATTCTCCAGTTGTGTTTCAATTAAATTTTAATTTTTAAATAAACCTCAAAAGGGCTCCAAAATGAAAGCATAACTTTGTTTAGATAAATTTTACTGTTCATCTAAAAAAATTTGTGTAACATTCAGAATTTTTTATATTATTTTCTCAGCATTTCTAAAGAGTATTTCAATTCGTGTGAAAAAAATCTAAGAAATTTTATAAAAAAGTTATAACTTCATACAGAAATTCTGAAAAATTATCTAAAAAATTCTAAGAAAAATCTAAAAAATTTCTCAAAAATCTAAGTATTACAAACCTTTTCTTTTTTAATAACATATCTTATATTTTATATGTCATTATAAAAAAATAAACGAATACAAAGCACATAACAAATCATCGGAGGTAAAAGATGATAATTTTTTTCAAGCGTTAAGAAGCATTATAAATAACGTTAAAGATTGGAAGGAAAGAGAAAAGAGGAAGATTACGAGTAAAAAATTACCTATGACTTAAAAAATAAAAAAAAAGAATCAATGTTCAAAAAATCAAATGAAAAAAAATTATAATTAATGCTACATTAAAGCATTAATTATAATATATTGTATTTCAGATGATATCTTCCCTTTCACCGGTACGAGGAAGAATTCAGTACCGCCGAGGTTACATGAAAAAAACAATTTTTCTTAAATATCTAAAAATTTTCGAATTATGAGTTATGTATCTAGCTAAACTTTTAAATACTTGAGCAAAATCATTATCTCCGTAAAAATCTCAAGCTATTTTTTAACATATCCTTCCCAGATAACATTTATGTTGCATAAGATATCTAAAAGACATCTTTTAGATATCTTATGTAACATAAATGTTATCTGGGTTGCTAATTTAATTGAAAATGAACGAACCAGTCGATTCGTCGCGTTTAGGATACATCCACACAAACTTGCATAATCGCATAAACGTATGCATAAAGAAAATAATCTAATCACATTTCTGTTATAGTATAAAGACAAGTGTCTTTATAATAGAATATAACAGAAATGTGATTAGATAATTTTCTTTGTGTTTATGCAACTATGCAAATTTGTTTGGATATATCCTAAGCTGGAATCAGACTACGCAAAAGATTGAGAGTGAAGATTGAAGATTGAAGATCAACACAGAAGCGTGTAACGTCAACCAAGCGAAGCATTTTCCAACCCAAGTTGATGCAAACCCGATCGAGCCGAAAACGCTATGAGATTGAAGATTGAAAGATTGAAATTTGACCAATGAGGACAAAGGAAAACACGAAACATCATTACTTCAACCCAGGTTGGTGCAAACTCGGTCGGGCCAAAAACGCCATCAATCTGCAATGCGTAGTCTGATTCGACTTTGCTTCGAGAATATCAATAGAATTCCAAGTAAACGAGAATAAATTGAAATAGATAAAAATGAACTCATTTCAATATTTCCGAATTCGCGCTTCTGATTTTTCGAATCCATTTGAATACATCTGAATTCAACATGATAAATAGAATATTTCATATTTTAATTCACATAACATATAATATATATCAATGAATAAATGTTAACGTTAATTAATCAGTAAAAAATACATTTAGTATAACAATATTACATTCGAAATGTAGTAACTTTACGAGTTGTAAATTTAGAAATCTTGTATTATATTTTACTCATTAATTTAATGCAGAAATTTATTTATTGTTTTTAATTCCTATGTAAATACGTATACGTACTATAATAATATACTCATGGAATCTTTATATTTTGTATTTTCTTTTAAATCTTATCGGCTACTGTTTTGAAGATTCATGGATTTTTTTCGAAAAAAAGTATTATGAAATATTTGAAACTCGATATTCATCGCTTTCGCAACTTCATGTATATGAGAAGGACTAATTAATCGTCCTTTAGAAATGTAATTAATCCAATCATTTTCTGGATTAGCTAACATTTCAGTAGACATTTCCAAATCTTTATATTTATGCATAACTCTGTATGCTGGTATAATTGGCAATGTCAATTCTTCTTCTAACTGAGCCTTTCAACACAGGCACAGCATGCCTTTTACTCGGGCATGGCATGCGTTTTATGTTATGAAATCCCTTTTCCTTCTCACCCCATTAAATTTCTGATTTCAAGAGACAGTATCACTATGATACTGTGATCCGTCTCTGTAGGTCAAAAATCTAATCGGAAGAAGAAGGAAGAAGGATTTCATAACATAAAAACGCACGTCGTGCCTGAGTTGGAAGGTTTTGACATCAACGACATTCAATATATCAATTTCATGCAATAATGCCTGTTCTTCTAAGGAAGGGATATAATTCAAAGTATAAGCGGCTGTAGAAGAAAAATGAAATAATGTATGTATTAAAATGAAATATCATAAGAACCTTTTTGATATCTTTTTCTTACATTTTTGTATTTTGTATATTTTTTATTTTATTTTGTACATTTTTAAAAAATTTTTCAATATCAGAATCTTTTTAGTATCTTCCTTGTTGAAAATTCTTATAAGTTTTTTGTACTAGAGCTTAAAAGAGTTATATATGATCAATCAGGATTAAATGAACATAATCATATAAGAATTTTATATAATTTGTTCATGAATCTCACTAGTAATCTTTAATGATCTTAGGAATCTAGAATGAATCATACACGGACATCTATATCGCAATAAAAAAATATTGCCTTAGCCTTATAAGAAACTTTTAAAAAATAATTTCTTTACAGGATCATCTAAGAATATGGTATTAATTACATATGATTCTGAAGTGTTTCATGAAAGATCATTTATCAGTCTTAAGAGACATAGTTACGGAATAATTTATTTTCCAAGTTGATACAAAAATCTGGCATGAATCGTACACAATGATTTGTATAGCAATGAAAAGATCTTGTCTTAACCTTGTAAGAAACTCTTAAAAAATAATTTCTTTATAGGATCATCCAAGAATATGTATTAATTATGCATGATTCCTAAGTGTTATATGAAAGATCATATATCAGTTTTAAAAAACATATAGTTACGAAATAATTTAGCTTTCAAGTTGGTGCAGAAATCTGGCATGAATCGTATACAATGATTTATATCGCAACGAAAAGATTTTAATTGCTAATTTAGCTTAATAAGATATTCTTAAGAAATAATTTGTTTACATCACTCCAAAGTGATAAAGGTATCGATCAATAAATTATTGAAGAAACAGAAACTGAATTGAATATATGAAATAAAAAAGAATTAAGAAAAATTTGTTAAAATACTGAAAATGACTGAATAAAAGGTCGAAAAGTATATTATTCTAGCTTAATGAATTGATAAATTATAATTTCGCTTATTATATTATAACTGGCGTAGACTTTTTATGATTTTTTCCTCAAATTAAGTTTCCCAGCAAACGAGAATGGATTGAAATGAATTAAAAAGGATTTAGATTTTCAAAAATATTTATTCACAAATGTTAAAATGAATGCTTTTCAATTCTAAATGTATTTTTATTCATTTATAGAAATTACATGGAGCATATCTCTATGCCTTTGAATCTAAAAATATTAGCTTATTCTATACACACAAACATAATTGTGTACAAACATACTGTTCAATTCAAAATTTTGAAATGCTATCTTTCAATCCAATTAAATCCAAAAAAAGTATTCGCTATTTAAAATACGCATTCGGATAGAAAACAATTTCAATCTATTTTAATCCATTCTCGTTTGCTAGGTTGATTTGACCGAGAAGGCGTTATTTAATTTGTGTAAAAAGAATTAATTTTTAGTCAAAATGAATTCTTTTAAACCCCATTCAACTCCTTGCTTGTCCATTCCATTTTATTTACTATACGAGCAATAAATCACACAAAATACCAATAGTATTCTTGTAATATTTAATGACATTTCAATTATATATTCTTACAAGATTCACATGCGCGCAAAATTTATCTACGCGCAAGTTTCAAGTAACATGCGTGTAAGACGAGTTCACACCTTGACGGAAAAGCGGAAAGCGGAAAAGCGGAAGCCAATCGGAACTCACAGTAGTAATAGGTAGTACATTCCGCTTGTTTGCGTCTGTCTTTCCGCGAGTTCTGATTGGCTTCCGCTTTTCCGTTTTTCCATCAAAGTGCGAGCTCGGAACTAAGAATCATGTAATATGTTTATAAGATTCATGTAACATGAGTGTAAGATTCATGCAAGATTCTGGATTTACCTACAGGTATCGTATGTGATATATTCTTATACAAGCTTGTATATTTCTGTCCAAAATTCGTATGTAAAAATTTTCTTAGATCTTACAAAAATTTTTCTTGTAAGAATTTGCAGCACACAGGGTTCTTAGTCATATACTTTTTTTAATTTTTGAATACAACATACACATACACTTTCTCCTTACTTTCTTCAACTTGGTTTGACAAATAAATTTCATCAAAAGAAGAAATTTCATCAGAGTAGAGAACCGAAGTTCTCTCCATTTCTGTCATGCTTTGACTTTTTTCTTTCGTTATTGCTGATACGTCTGTTAAGATACCTTTGTCAGTGTTGAAATCCGCTATCCATTTTCGAAGGGTTGACATTGCAGGAATTTGTTTTGTTTTCCTCAGATACCTATAAGCTTTTGAGCTTATGCTTTTTAACGAAATTGCAGCCTCAATATCCTCCTTAGTCCAACGGATCTTCTGCGTGAGATTTAAAAATAATTCTATTTGTTCTGGCGTAAAAAACGGAGTTAACTTGTCTTGCATTTTCTGCACCAATTGCTTCTTGTATAGTTTCTCTTTTAAAGCTTGTTGATATTTATGGGTTTCCGTTTCCAGATGTAAAGCTTTTGTTTCCAGAAGTAAGGTTGCATTTCTGTGTTGCAATTTCTGCATTTTCTGAGAGATATCTGCCACAGCATAAAAGAAAAAATATATTATTATACAATATATGAAAAATAATTATGTAAATAAGTATGTATATTTATGTAAATAATAAGTATGTATATTTATGTAAATAATAAGTAATTAAGAAACAAGTGAAATACAGTGACAAAATGTACCAATGTTAGGAACCACTGCAGTGTTCAGCGCAACTTGAGTTGCACAGCTCGATGTGGAGGTCGATGCAGTACTATCTATATTTGGATTAAATGAACAATGAATAACGGACTGTGCAACATCTACTTCTAAAAATATATTTAATACATAAGAAGGCAAAGTTTACAAGACAAATATTATTGATATACATATATTATAAAAATTATCGTTTGAAATTCTTTATGTTATAATAATCACTTAAATGTTAAAAATGGATTATATGTATACCTAAATCATTATCCGTGGAAATTTTGTTGTCCTCTACATCAGTTATCAATGGAACTGCATCACGTTTAAGTTTTATTCGTACATTCCCAGATTTTCCAACGAAATCTCGTAACCACGATTTATCTTCAAATTGTGAAGGATGAAAATGTTTCGAACAGATACGAGCTACATAAATCAATAATAAACAAATATGATAATGCTCGATAATTTGCAAAGTAATATACAAATCTTGATAACGACCAATAAATGAGCAAAAGAGATGTTAGAACAGAAATAATTTAATAATAATAATAATTATAGTTAATACATAAAAATAATTCCGCAAACGTTTCTGTTAAGAAGTAATTTTACAAGTTGATGTTAATTTAAGTCTACAGATTATTTAATAATGCAGACTGAAATTTATCGAAAAGCAGTTTTTCGATCATCGATTAATCTATATTCTTCTGTTCTATGTATTTGCGGTTGTTTTCGAGGTTCGATGCCTGATGTTCATTTAATTTAGATTTTGTCATGTGTGTACGATCACCTTATTTTAGATAATAAAGCATATATTCTGATCTCTACACCTGTGTAAATCACTAAAATAATTCAACAGTTTTCAATTCACAGAATCTTTATCGGTATGTATAAATATAATTTAATTAAATTAAATATTAACATCTACAGTCTACACATGTCATCTACACATACTAGGTGGGGTGAAAAGTAACCTCCTTGGGAATGAAAAAAATTTTTTTCTTATGCAGAATCTCGCCCAAAATATGGCGTGTTCGCTCAGTACTAATCTTTGTAGCATCTGCTAGCTCGCGCACCTTCACTTTCCGGTCAGCCAACACCATTTCATGTATTTTTTTGACATTTTCCTCGGTAACCGCATCGGAGGGCCTGCCGCTGCGGACTTCATCGGTAGTGGAGTTGCGGCCACCACGAAACTCTCGAAACCAATATTTGACGGTGTAATCTGACGGAGTATTAGCCACATAATATTTATCCAACTTTTCTTTTGTTTCCTTCGCCGTTTTGCCTCTCAAAAAATAATGTTTTATGAGAGAACGAAAATCGTTTTCGCAAACACGTCAACAACAATCAGCTCTCAAAACAAAACTAAGGGCAGTATCGCACTGCCACTTGGCATGTCTGCCTAAATATGAACGGACTACAAGGCACCATAAACTTTTTTGCAGTAGTGGCGCATTCTGGCGGTCAAGGAGGTTACTTTTCACCCCACCTAGTATGTACGTCAAAATGAGGTAACATTATAAAAATATCATTCGTCCTTTTCAAGATTATTACAATCAAAATAGTTATATTGTCACACTATGTCCAGAAGAATATATAATAGTCAAAATAATTCAAACTAAATCCTCTGACAGCAATCGTGTTAGTTCCATTGTATGTAATATGAATCAAGATATAAAATTATTCTAAATCAAATTAATTTATCAATTATGAAGAGTGTGTTATCAAAAAACTATTAGAAGAAATAAAATATTGATTCAACTTACGTAGCGTAGTTAATAAAAATGATTCAACAATAATAATAATCAATAATAAATTAAATAATATTTGATAATCGTAAATTATCGTATAATCGAAAATCGAAAATCGTTAATAAAAAATCGTAATCGTATAATTGTAATAATATATATAATAAATTATCGATAATCGTATATTTAATAATCATATCTATAATGTAGTAATAGCTCAGATATAACAAGGGAAGTTTCACAACTCCGGAACTGATTTGATTCTCCATGATATATATTGTAAAACACAAAAATCTAAGAGACGTATTTTTTTATAGTGCACTCATGTTTAAGGGGTGAAACACCCCTTTGAAAAAAACCGATAATTTTCTTTCGAGGCGAATATCATCGGAAGTATAAAAGATAGAAACAAATTTTTGAAACAAAAGTTGTACGGTTTCAAGAGTAGAGGAGACCGGGGCTAATAGACTCATTTTTCAGTTTCGAATTTTTACAGACGAAATTAAGAGACTTATCGAAAAAATGAATTCTACACTAGTTACTACATACATTTGACTACCTAATAATATTTTAATAATAAGAGGAAACTAATAACTAATATGGAAAAAAATGCATTTTTCTAATGCATTCCATCTGATTCAACTAGCCCCGGGACCGGGATAATTCGACTAAGATTATTAAAATAAAGATTAATATATTTTAAGCTACATTTTTGGCTACATATTAATAAAACTTGTATAAAAATAAATTTTAAACACAAACATTCGCTTCGTAGAACCAAACAATACTTCTTTTTGCAAAATTTGTTCATTTCGTGCAAAAACATGTCGAATAAGTCTAATTTTCGAGATTGGACATGAAGGAACTAAACTTATAACATTTACCGCTGAGAAAAATCTCTTTAAAGGAATAAAATTTTGAGTAAGTACTATAAGAATCGTCACTAAATGAGTCATACATTAAATGAGTTCCATGCTATGGTTAGTCTACTATCCTCCGTTCATTTTTTAAAAATATTAACAAAGACACATAAACAAAAAAATCTGTTGAATTCTATTAAGTAAGAACTACACTTATTATCTAAGTAGAAATCCAATATTTCAGATACGATTTCATATACGATTGTAAAACAAAAACTTTAAGAATAAAAATATTTCCTTAGATGTACGATTTTTTAAAATTGTGACATAACTTCTATTATAGATGTGTTCGCAACAAGATGTTACAGCAGACTTAGCGACAATCGCTGTTGCTCAGACACGCATTACGCGTGTCTCGCGTATTTTGTTTTTAATGTAGCCTCGATTATTCTACTTATCCCTATATTCAACTGATCCCGGTCTCCCCTACTTTAAAGTCATAAAGAAAAAAGTTTTTATTATTTTTTTATTTAACAAAAATATTCCTATCACCCATAATTTTCTTAAATTTTCGTTTTTTTAAATCAAATTAAAGATTATTTTTTTACGAATTCAACTATGTGTATAATAAAATTACATTACGACATATCACTTTCGAGAATTAATTATTAATGCTTTCGTATATCGCTATCCATGCTTATATGCGTAATTGTCGTCAGAACATGTCTATCAAGCTAGAACATGAGCATAATCATATGAGACACACAAAGGATTTAATGCTCTTTTTGTATTAATTTGTTGCTCTAATCCCGATGTCGTAATGTAATTTTATTACATGATTGAATTCGTAAAAAAATAATCCTTAATTTGGTAAAAAAAATTGATAATTTAAGAAAATTATGGATGGTGGGGATTTTTGTTAAACAAAAAATAAAAAAAACTTTTTTTTATAACTTTAAAGTACTCTGAAACCGTACAACTTTTTTTTAAACATTTTTTTTCTATCTTTTATACTTCCAATATTATATTCGCCTCGAAAAAAAATATTGGTTTTTTTCAAAGGGGTGTTTCACCTCTTAAACATGAATTAGCGCACGTATAAAAAAATACGTCTCTTAGATTTTTTGTGTTTTACAACATATTTCATGGAGAATCAAATCGGTTCCGGATAGTTATGAAATTTCCCGTGTGAGATAAAACTCGAATTGTATGTCATATTATACGAAACTGTAATGTACTAATCACAACTGTAATGTGGTGAAGCTCGAATATGACTGAGATAAAACTCCGATTGTATATCATATTATACACAAAGAATCTTACAATGTTCTGTGTAATCTTGATCGTTATTGGTTAAAATTTTACAGTTAGTGAAAGAGAGAAAGAACATTATTACTAACATGTGACAGTTCTTGTAGAATGTCGAAGTAAGCTCCATCCAACAACTCAATACCTTTCATACAATTAATGTCATTTTTTTTATTCTTTTATGTGAATCTCTCCCTTATTAGTCTTTTTTCATAATTATTCAATTTCTAGTATTTTGACACTCTCCCAATCGAAAGTGTTAGACTTTATATGTTCTGAGTGTTTGGAAGGATCCAACTTTATGTTATTAATATGTTCCTTAATTCTAGTTCGCAATTGCCTTTTGGTTTGTCCAACATATGAGACATCACAATTTTTGCAAGAGATTTTGTAAACAACGTGACTATTATGTAATAATTCGGTTTTATCTTTTTAAACTTTTATAAATTTATTCAATTTGTTCAGTGTGCGGAAATTGTAGTTCCAGACCTATTAATGAATGATGTTGCTCTTTCCGATACGCCACTGACATATGGGATCACCATGAAATCTTTTTTATTAATCGGAATATCTTTTATCGTTTTATCTCGTACAGTCTTGTGTACGAATAATTTTTTTAATCTCCTATTAATAATATTAAAGATGAAATCTAAGGGTAACCGTTTTCCAGAAGCATGTTGATGCATAAATCAATATTTTTTTCATAAAACAGAGAATGAGATAATAAGATAACATGGTCTAGACCATAGATGGTACCTATTTTTTGACTCTGGGTGGTAGAGTGAAACGATATGTATCGTCCAAAGAAAGTTTTTTGTGATACCAATCTGTAATGATCTTATTATCCTTAATGATTAAAGAAATATCGAGAAAATTAATGCAACGGTTCTCTATTTCCATCGTGAACTTTCTTGGTAATTGTTCTTTATGAGCCACTAATAACATGTCATCGACATATTTGAAATAATAATAGATCCAGTGTACTCAAGACAATTTCCTTTAAATCTTGCGTGACTATATCGGCTATGATTGGCGACAAAGAGAAGTCCTAAAGGTCTGTTTATAAATATTTAAAAGTAAAATAGATAGATGAAAGAACAAATTTAATTGCAAATAGAAATTCTTCTTTTAGTAATCTATTTAGTAATCTATTTAGTAATCTGGAACACTTAATGAGCTCCTATCATATTTTTTCAATACCAATCATAGCTAGATCCAAAGGAACGTTAGTAAAAAGAAATGTGACATCAAATGAAATAAGCATTCTCATTCACAACTACACTTGAAAGTTTGTTATCTAATTCAAAACTATTGTTTACAAAACCCCTCGCCTTAGAAATGCTATCCGAAATTTTTTTTAAAATCAAATAATACTTTTAATAAATCAATTTAATAAAACAAATCAACAATAATAAATTAAAAGGGTTATGGGTCTCAGATCTATCTATCTATCTACAGTCCTTCGGACCTAAGGATCCTTGGCCTCACATACGAGCCAGATAAATCGTTTAATATTTAAAAAGTAAAAATAATCATTGCAAACATAAACATTATAAACATTATAAACATTATAAACGTCTGGTTTATTTATAATATTTATAATGTTTATGTTTGCAATGATTATTTTTACTTTTTAAATATTAAACGATTTATCTGGCTTGTAGTCCTTCTAATTTATTATTGTTGTTGATATTCGTATTGAGCTTATATTATTATTAATTTATATTTTAATAAATCAATTTCAATTACAATATCATGTGTTTATTAATTACAATATCATGTGTTAACTACAAATAAATCATACATACCGAATTTAGAGTTGACATCTTCTTTGCATACAATTTTCCATTTTTCAATCATTTTCGTTTCTTTCGGAAATGATAAATAACTAATTTTTTGTCTTTTCGTATTCCACGAATTATTTTTACAATTTCGTACTGCACACGACGGCATCGTAATGATCAAATAAATAAAGGTGAAATTACATGTAAGCGTCGAATGTCGGGCATCTGCGCAGAAGTTTGAATCTCCAGACCTCTGCACAGCTTCTTAACACAAAATAATAAATTATAAGAGGTTATATTTTGATCATGGAGTATAGAGAATAGAAAGCCGAACTAGGCTTAAAAAGTGTGGTCAAAATCAGGTTTGCGAATTAGTATTAGTGGTGGTCGAGTGGCGAAACTCTTCTCATATACGCTTACAACTGAATATACATAACCTAAAAATAGAGACGTTATTCTTTGACATCTCTTTGACAGTAATAGGAAGATGTAAATTGTCATTAAAACTGAAGAATGGAGTTCTTCATGTAAAATTGACCTACCATGCACACTGCGAAAACGGTGTCGTTAGAATTCCTCTCTAGTAAAGTTGGAAACACAGATTTTAATCTATCAGAAAGTGTCCATTCTATTATTCATGGTTTCTGATAAGTTGAAATCTCGTATTCCCTGTTTCTATTGTCTGTGCTTTTCATTGTGTTTTCAGCTTAAGAGTTAAGACATAAAAGCGGAAGGACGCCATTGCTGGGTGTTGGTTATAAGCCGGAAACAGCATAATTTGACAGAGTAAGGGGAAGGAACAGGGAACAGAGAATAAAAAATAAGAATTTCAATCTATCAGAAATTGTGTATTCCACAATACATGATTTCTGAGGTTGAAATTCTTATTCTCTGTTCCCTGTTCTTTTTATTATGCGGAACTCTTAAGGACTGCATTCAGATTCCCCACTCAGACATCCAGAAAGCGTTCAGATTCCTACTCTATCCATCCGAGACAATAGAAAAACCACCCGGTTCCTTGAGCCGGATGGTATGGGTGGTAATGGCGCATTAAAGATTCCCTATGCTATCCCAGCATGTTTGATGTGCATCTATACGAAAATTTAAATTTCAGGTTATGCCTGTGTGTTATAAACAGTATAAACCATAGGATGCCAAGTATTTAATCATCTATTAAATTGTACAGGTCGGGACTTAAATACTGCTAAGATATTTATCACATATTTTTTATCATTATTAAATACGTATATTTTAGTTATATATAATTATATGTAATTCATAAATTAAATCTGACATATTTACGTTACTATTTGCTGTAACCGATGTTGTAGGATACTCTTGTCTTAGAATGCGTTCAGATTCCTAAACCACTCAGATACTTTTTTTTACTAGGCTTCGTTCACTCACCCAGCGATCATCCACCAGGTGAGAAATCTGAAAGCCTTGATAGTCCAATTTCGCGCCTTCTATACCATGAAACAGTTGCACACACCAATTCACAGATTCATTACCACATCGAAAGTATCTGCAAATGGCGGCGTTTAAAGGGACTCGAAATCTGACCAATCAGGAATCGGTGCCCCTCATGATTTGATTCTTACTAGAGAGACTTTAATGGGTAAAATTACACGGTGCGGGAAAGAGCTGCGGAATAGAGAATGCGTCATTGAAACAACCAATTGGCGCTATTCGGAATAACGCAGAATAATATTGATTGGTTGCTTCTATGACGCATTCTCTATTCCGCAGTCGTTTTCCGCACTATGTGATTTCATCCTAAGTGTCATGGAACGAAAGCGACAAGTTCTCGATCGAACTAATTTAGATGGACTACTTTTGACTACGCTATTTGACGGCCTCGTCCATATAAGCCTTCGGCCTTCTATTCTCTATACTCCATGGTTCTGATATACACTACCATTTTAACATATAATGCTGAAAATTTATATTTATTTACATTATATAGACAAACTACAAGATTCTATTATTAATGTATCTCGTACATTAAATTCAATTTTAGTAAAATTAATAAATTTAATAAATTTCTGCTCATGCTCTAAGGATGCTCGACGCTCGACGCTACCACGTAAATTATAAAGGCATCTTGACACGTCTATATCATTGGGATGCATTTCAAAACTTGATTCTGTTACAGTCTAAGAATGGATGCTTTCCATTTGATAATACAAGTCGACACAAATCGACATAAGCGTCATTTTATCCTTGTTGACACTCAGAGACTGACAAAAATAAAACACTTGTGTCATCACAGAAAGCACTCGATATAAGCAACATCGGCACTTTTGATCTTTTTCAGACAAATTTTCAAGGTCCGCCGTGTCTTTGGTGACCAAATATCACATCAAGTATTAAGCTGAATAGCATTAAGCTTTTCATACGCAGCACGTTGCGGCAGCAACGTCATGTAAAAATGTCACGTAATGCCATCTTTAGGAACTATCACCTATACTTAACAAAAAAAGGAGATAAAAAATCTTAGCTTTTCAGAATCTTCCACCAAATCGGTGATCAGTCAGATACATCCACGCACAGTTACGTTACTTCATAAAATTAATTGCTGTAATCAGTTATTCAGAAGGCATGGTAATATCTCATCGTTAAGCAAGCGCAGATATGGCGCGATTGCAGTAACAAAGAAACTGTGGATTCTCTGCTTTGATTGGGTGCCATCAAAAACATGGCCGCTAATGATATGCAAGCAAATATGCATGGCTGAATAGAAATCGAGGTCTTGTCCCTGTTACTGACGAGATACTACTAAAGACCATCAATCCTAGATAAATTTTCGGCGGTATAAAAAGGGCCCCAAGAACCCGGAAGTAATTGAAGAACGCTGACATTACCGAATTGATATAAATTTGCTATTATTAACATAAATATTTGACTCATACATTATAAATTCATGATTTTGTATTACATAAATGTTCCATAAATAAATATACATAAAGTTATAATATTCTATGTATTGCGAAAAAATTACAATTTTTTCTCTGCAGTTATTATCTCTGTTGATAATCAAACTTTGACGATAACACTGAAATCACAATTTTAAAGAAAAATTGAGTATTATTGAGTTCTAAATGTCTACCAAAGTAATAAATCATAAAATTAGTGCAATATTATCAGTTTTTAATTCTTAATCACTTCACTATTTACAAAGATGCTGAACTCCCGTAAGGATGTTGGTCTTTAACAATATCTCGTCGGTGCTACTGTATATCCATGGAATAATAAGGGGCTCCGTACAATAAAAAGAACAGGAAACAGAGAATACAAATTTCAACTTATCAGAAACTGTGTATTCCACAATACATGTTTTCTAATAGGTTGAAATTCTTATTCTCTGTTCTCTGTTTCTTTTATTGGCACGATAGCCAATCAACGTCTTGCTTGCTCGGAAGTAATAGATATATAATTTCCACCGCGCGACAAAAGTTGAACTCAATTCAACTTTTGCCGCGCGGTGGAAGTAACATTACATAATTTCTAGAAGTTTTGCATGATGAAGCCGACTTGAGAACATAGAATTATTGGTTCTGTGTGCAGGAGCCATTAGAGAGAGCAGAAATAAAAAAAACAGACCTATTGAAAGCTGAAAACTACAAATTACAGAGTAGAATTCGATCAATTGTGTTGAGAGTTTCTAAGTAAAAAAAAAATGAATACACGATTCATTTAAGTCCAGTCATTTAATTAGAACAGAACTTATATATTATTAATCGGAAAGAAAGCAAGAGAGGAATAAAAGCTTCAAAAACATCACTGTGTAATATTAATGTTAATATCGAGCTCAAATAAACAAAGATCAATTATAATACTTCGTACAGTGACAGATTGCTTATTCTAAACTTACCTCAACGAGAAAATTATCTAATAACGTCGCTACAAGGCCTCGCAATTGACACGAACGTTTGGATATGAAAGGAAAGAACAACAGTGATGTTCAAAACTTTTAACAGATGAACAGCCTTTAAAATAATGCCATTTCTCGCTATTTAGTTTAATGTAATTACCAACAGATCGATATTATAATTCATATTCTCAACAAATTGGAACAAAACTAATAAATTAAAATAATAATTAATTAAAAGATTAAAATTATAATTATCTGATTAATCCAAAATCTTAAAATACGCGCCGTTATCACTCATGATCGGAGAGATGACAGATCACGTCATCTGGTGGAACTTGCCGCAAATCGCAAGCAATTCGACTAATTTGGACGGTCGACTTCCGCCGTGACCGATTTACGCAACAGACAGATAATCAGTCTGCTCGTATAAGCGTTTTTCGTGCGAGATTTTCAGCGAGAAGAAATGTTGCGCGTCGTAGCGACACGCGTGGCCGCAGCAGCGCGCACCGCGATTATGCCGCAGGTCTCCGTCGTCGGCACGCAGTGCACCAGAGCTGCCCATGGTGGTCCCAAAGAGACCGACGAGGAATTCGATCAACGATACGTGAATTTTTTCAGCCGCAATGACATCGATCACTGGGAGATCCGAAAAGCCATGAACGATCTGGCCGGTAAGCTCGTGTTAATTGCCTCTGTTGACAAATGATCTAAATCTTGGACTATTGAATACACGACACCACATACTGATGGTGGTTCTCTTATTGTCGTGGACACGAGAAGTAGCGAAGTAAAACGCGGCTGTTCTTTTCAGTTGCACTTTATTTTGTATTGTGTTTGCCTAAACATAATATTCTGGTACGTACCATATCTCTTTAGTCACAGCTTCTATTAAAGTCTTATTAAAAACTTCTGTTATAAAACTTGTATTAAGAAGTAAGTAGGAAGATATCTTGTTCGATCTTAGCTAGATCTTAATACTTAGTAAATTTATATACAGAATTGAATGTATGTATAAATTCATACTGAAATATTAAGTATTAAGATCTAACTCCACATCAAATAAGATTTCCTGCTTATTGTTAGTTGTATCATTTACATATCAATCTAATGTCATTGATTATTGCTTATATCCTTTAAACTTCTATTAAAATTTCTTTGAAAGTTATACTTAAGGAATAACTTTTCCATGTATTTACCTTTCTGAGATTCATATTGCTATGAATGTTTTATTTTTAATCGTTAATTCAAAAAGAAAATTTATTTTCTCTTAAATTATTATTTAAATAATTTACATTGAAAAATCAGACACTGATGATATTCTATTATAAAATGAAAAGAAGTTATTTGTTTTTATCATGCAAGTATCTTTTTAATCAGGTAGTCACTATCTTTATTTTATATTAACTTATTATAAATGCATATCCATGTGTCAATTGTAAAATAACAAATTCATTTTGTTTTAGGTATGGATCTTGTGCCAGAACCAAAGATCATATGTGCAGCATTGAGAGCTTGCCGAAGATTAAATGACTTTGCTCTCGCCGTAAGATTCTTAGAATGTATAAAAGATAAAGGTGGTCCACATGCCGCTCAAATCTATCCTTACATTCTTCAAGAAATCAGACCCACCTTGGACGAGCTAGGTATCAGTACACCCGAGGAGTTAGGATATGATAAGCCAGAATTAGCCTATCAATCAGTGTATGAAATGTAATGGACTAAAAATATACTGTATAAATCCTAGTATTTATATATTCGTAACTGCTGCCTCAGATGCAAACATTGAGAATAATTTGTCAGTTAAATTGAATTAGACATGTATTTGCATTCCCAGCAGCATTGTTGAATAAATAATCACAATTGTAATTAATGTCTGTTAATAAAAAATCAAAGCTTAATATTCTATATAAGATATACCAGAATTTTGAGATTTAATTTTAAAAATATATAAAGACTGTCGAATTAAGACTGTCTTTTTTTTTTCTTTTGTGTTTCATGTTCATAATGTGAACAATTAAAATATATACAGTAACAGTATATAGCACAATTGTGTATTAATTACTTTTAATTTCGCATAATTGCAATAGATGTATGGAGGTAAAATTAAAAACTACACATGACAACTTATTTACACATTATATGATGGAGAGATTGGGAGATATACATCAGCAGTCATATACACATATGTCTATAATTATCTAAAGTCGTAATACATATTTTTTTTCTTGCTTTTCAAATGACATCCAACTTAATTTATGCTCGGCATGTGCTTTGTTACAAACAACGGAGGGAAAATATAGTATGTTTATCTTACACATGAGTATACCGATATATTACATCATTAATGCAGTTTTGCCCTGATATTTAAAAAAAAAACGCAACAATTATTATCTAGTCATTATGATACGCTTTTAATAGTATTTACCACTATTTTCAACTACTTTTCCCTATAATGTTATAAAAATCTCTTTAATATTATTACACATGATTTCAAGGGCAATTTGTTGTTTCAATATTACGATCTTTGGAGTTAAGTATTGCTTTGCAATACGTATAACATGCTATGCATTATTCAATTTACAATTGAATAACAACTACAACTGAATGATATCATTATTTTAATAATTCTACATGTAACGTAGATATGTAATATAATATGTAATGTAGATTACATATAAAAAAAAAGTAAGATAATAGAAGTGCATAGTTAAAAAAGTAGTCATTTCTGATAAAGATAATCCTACAATTTGTTACCGCAACATTGAAACAAGATTGCACGCGAAAAATACACTTTTCGTCACTTTAAATATATTATATAAAAATGGGAGCGATGATTTTAAATACCACGACACAGTTCAACTATTTAGTGTAAAATAGAATCGATTACTTTTGATTACCTTCAAGTGGAATGAAGGACAGTATATATATGTGTGTATGTGTGTTGTGAATCCTGGTTTTTACAATCGCATACCCTCTTCTTTCGAAAATCAATTTACATACATTGTAATTCTATAATTTTCGAAATCAAGAACACATAAAAGTAATCTTTTATACAAATATAATCAGATTTTTTCCTCATTGGTGAAAATCAAATAACGGCTCGTTATTGATTATGCTAATCGAAGCAAATACATAGTGCAATATAATTCTCGTAAAATATGATTATGGACACACGCCTTTCGTTGGTGCGTATTAAAACTGCAAACTGTATAGTCTGTATATTATTATGCTTTCTTAGTTATGAAAAAACATACATCTTACATTCTATTTGTACCCGTCAGAAATGCTTAACTCTTTTTTTTTTCATTATTTCTACTATCGCGATCCTTTATGTATTATATATATAATAGCCTGTTTTTGGCATATCTTGACTATTTAGAAGAAATTCTAAGTGGTCAAGAAACGCTCATGAGAAACGTCCATGTCTGTATTATTATATATATATATATATACTGTTACATAGTGATAAGAAAGTCATCTTGATAATTTTTTTACGATTCGATCAGACTGAACTTCGAGCTCAAATGTTTGACCATGCAATTTATTTGACTCTATGTATGAGCCTTGTTTATTAATTTAGTATAGGAGATCCTTCAATAACTTTGACCTTGACATATGACTCCGAGTGACCTTGGACAAATTTTAGCCGTTGCTAGTTATTCCTAAAAAATTACTATCAAAAAAAATTCATCAATAAAATCTAACTTTTAACTAAGACACGACTACCCTCTGATGAAACAAATTCCTTACTTTAACAGCGCAAAATATTTTCTTATATAATTTTTTTTGTATGATTTTGCCTCATCTATTTCAATAATAATTCTTTTTCTGCCAATTTAATTTTGGTTGTTTGTTAACATTGATTCATAAGTTGAGAAGCCAGATTATTGTAATTAAACATTTATTAAAATAGAAAATTTTTAAATAAGTTTTTTTGTTCCAAAGATATAAATATTTTACTTCAAAAGCACAAATTTCTTGCTTTACAAACAATTGACATTGTTTTTCATTTATGTAGTTTTATCAAGTTATTAAATTACATGAATTATTTGCTCTCTGTAAAAGTTAGTCCAGTCAATTGCTATGTGATGATATATTTGGTTTTTTTCTAAGAATATCTGCTTTACAAATTCTTTGCGTTAAAACCACATTTTTTTTTAATAAACTTTTTTCGTTAATGACTTTTTAACGAACAATGAGCGACGGCTAAAATTTGTTCAAGATCATTGACCTTAACAACACAACATATATCAAAGTCAAGCTCATTAAAAAGATAGTCTCTTATACTAAATAATTACTCCTTATTTTTATCCATAAAAATACATTTTTTAATAGAAAGTCAATTAGAAATACAATTAAAAAAATGTAGTTTTTCTTGTTTTTAGGGATCTGTAAGAAGCTTTGTGTGCCTTCATTAAATTTAAAAAAAGATCATTCTGTGCCGTTAACAAAACTGAATGAATTATTTCTGCTGTCATTGTGGAAATAATTGAGCTTCATGATAGATTAATTTATGAAATTAAGTATAAACGTTTTCATATAAATTGTTTCCGTAGAAAATATTAACAAATAAAAGAATAAGTCTTTGGTGTGTATTCCCATGTATCAACCTGGCTATAAGACTAGAAAATATGTGCTTAACTCACGCAGTACTGGAAAATACACACAAGTATCGGTGATTTACAATTTTCCAGTAAACAGTGCGATAGATAATTATCTTCGAAAACAGACGCATTCACCTGGTACGACAATAGACCTCTTTGAAAATTAATACTACATCCGAAAAATTGGATTGCAAGTGAATACTCTCAAGCGTCTATGATGTATCTTGAGTACAAATATGACTAATCTTAATTCAATCAATTTCACACTCATTCATTCTTATTTTCAAATAACCGCTGTTCAATGACGCAATCAGCAAGAAACGTTACACAGAACAGTGACTCAAAGAGAAAAAGAAAACACAACACCAATCGTTACTAATTCTTTCATACATTTATCCCTTCCGTATATCACCGTGATACACTGATAGCATGTACAGATAATACGGAGTGATTCTTTTAGATTAACTAGATTACACTTAACGTGTTTATTCTGGGCTAGACACAGTTTGTTGTTGTTGACTGTCTTCGTCCTTAACTTCGGCCTGCATGGTCTTTGTCAGAACGTTGGCGTCCTTTAATGATATTACTTGAAGAACCTGATGTTCTCCGGCGGCATTTATCATCGTCATGGGATGACCTTGTATAGTAACAGCTTCGATGGTGGTATCTCCATTTCCTGATTCGACCTTGGGTACTTGAACCATCGGCGTTACTACCTGCATCGTACCATCGCTCTGTATATTGGCCACCATAGTTTGATACATACTGGCAGACACTGGCACTGTGATCACTCCTGAGACTGATACAGGATATCCTGAAACAAACGTATAATAAGCGTTCCACGATCGACCCATAACGAGCCAATTGCGTCTGTATTGCAAACTAGAAGATGATAAAAGAAAATGGTAAACAAATATCTCAGATAAATTATACTCACAATGCGACAACGTCAAGAAGCTGTTTGCAAAGCGCTAAAATCGAACCAATACGGTCTGTGCACGATAAAAAGTGGTGTTGTTCTCACTACGCATTCTTCATTCGACAATTTTAATTTCTATCATAACAATCAATAACTACTAGTTTACGATGGAAAAGAACGTCCATTGGATTACCAATCCTTAATTTAACGCGTCTTTTATTTTTTCATAACTGGCATGATATGGTCTGTCAGATCACTGTAATTTATTCACAAAAAACATCAAAACAAAATTACTCATATGTTACAGAGTGCAAGGTAAATAGATATTAGGATATTAGTTTCTGAAGGATAAGGAAAATAAAAGGAATGAAACAGAGATCTGCGAGACCGCTGCCAGTTGAAATCTGATAAAAGCAAAATCGCATGTTGCATAATTGAACAATTTAAAGACGCAGAAATAGTACCATTTAATTAATTAAAGGATGCGCTCAAAAAGAACAGATATACTTGTTATGACCCAATAATTCTTTGGTACGCCTCTTTAACTTAACGTAAAATCGAAATACGATATCTATCTAAGAAAATTAAGGCGTATGAGGGATAGCGAGTGTTTAAGCCGTTTGCAGAAATAAAAATTTCAGATCACACAATTCACATTCACTTTCGAACACTTTCGAAAAACATATAATAAATGTTAGCACTAATATGTTACTTATTTCAAGCAGCTTAAACACAGGCTGCTAACACATAATGTATAAAAAATAATGGTACGTCAACAAAAAATACTCTATGTACAGCAAGTTTATTTCTCTTCGTTTAATTAAAGTCAGTAAACCAATCTTCAATAAAGTAAATATAATCGTTACAACAGTTTCTTCCGTCATCGTAATTGCGATAGCGGATTGTTTTAGCAATTGAGTTAAAAATTTTAAGAATCCAATGGCAATATATTTCCTTTGCAGTCACTTGTACGTACATTTTTCGTTTGTTGTAAAAGTTTCTAGAAGTACTGCAATAATTCTTACATACAGATATTATAATAATAGAATACATAATAGTTCTTTATACACAAATACGTGTCACGTCCATGTAATCGCTGAATAATAGTATCTACATGCACATTGTATTATAAATAAATGCTGTTATCTTACTTAAAATTTTTCAAAATCAAAATAAAATAACAAATAGTATGAATATGTATAAACATGTATAAACATGTACTTTATACAATTTATACACATTTCGAAGTGCAAATATTTGCAAGTAATACTTTTACACGATTCTCCGTGTTATACATTACATGTAAGCGCACCATGGATTCTCAAAGAACAAAGTTTCAAATTAAACTGTGCATAGCTCCATTTATATAAAATTACTCTAGATCTCTATATACAATACGAGGCAAATACATTAACTAGTCCAGATCCTACTTCGTAATACAAAGTAGTATAAACACATAGAGACATGATTCTTGATTGGAGCATAGCAGACAGCATGCAAAAAAGATCCGGGACCAATAAAAAAACGAGTCACTGTTCAAGTAGTTCCTGGCCGGCGACAGTGCAGAGCCTATAAAAAACTGTTTTACCGTGTCCGTCTTCCCCAGTAAGGATGATCTGGCCATCTTGACCTAACGTCGCTTCTGTGACAGTGTTCAAATCGACAGCCACACTAGCACCTTCTGTGCTACCGGCTACTTCCGCTAGTGCCTGAACATCTCCTTGACTTGTATGAATCTGAATGCAATCGAAAATGATGTTATTGTACATGACTTGTATTATACAATATAATATTGGATAAATTTAACATTTTCCTTTTCTATTTTTTTTCAAAAATATTAAGACTATTATCATAGTTTTAGTCTAGTATTATCTGTAGTACAGGTTTGGCGATTTTTTATTATTATTATAATTTGATATTTTGTTAATATCTATTGCGTTAATTTCTATTTATTATATATTCTATAAACTGAAAATGACCTAAAAGTATAAAAAACGTAACATTTCTATTATAAACATTAATCTTTATATGATATTTATAATTCTTTGTTCATACATATACTTCTGTCTTATATTGATTTTACATCTACATATGTGTGTATGACCTTTAATATTTCTGTATGTATTATTTTTGTATGCGTATGCATAAAATGATCGAATTCATGTGTTATTGTACATCGATTTAATTGGATTAATATACAGTATATTTAATATATATTTTATATGTGTATGTATATTGTAAAATAAATATTGTATTATATCGAATATCACATCGATTTCATTTACGTGCAATTTTATAAAAAACGTTTATATTTCCAAAAAGTTTTTAAAAAAAGATCTGTAAAGATTTTTTATTTTATTAAATATATGTATTTTTAAAGAAAACTTACAGTAGCAACTCCTTGAACTTGAGCTGTTGTACCATCCGGTAATGTAATAATCGGTGTGCTAGGATCCACCTGTATGATAGAAACTGTTCCATCTGGGTTGGTTATTGTCTGCAATACAGTTGTTGGATACTGGGCTGTCATCTGTTAAACAATTGTAAGTCAGAGATAAGTAAATTATATACACATGACATCATGGCTGCATCTCAAAACTCCATGGACTGTCATTTTATGAAAATCTTAGGAAAACTAAAACAATAAAAAGAACAAAATATACTAAAAGAAAAGATAAAAAAATAATTATGATTTTTCAATTCTAAATTTTCAAACATTGTCTCAAATACTTGATAAAGTAGTCGTATTATAACTATATAGCATGTTACTTTGTACTTAAAAATGACAGTGAATAATGCTCTTAAATGCAGCTCTGAATCAAGGAACATTGTTATGAATTCTCTAACTATTTTAATTTTTAAATGTAAATGACTTTGATTTTTTTATAAATGTTCCATTACTAAATACAGATTATACAAATTAATATATATTCAATTCTAAAATATGGTATAAGTCTAATATATGGTTTAATGAAAAAAAAAAAAAAAAAAAATTTAACTCAAATAAGGGAAACCAAACACATCAGTAGAAATACGACTTTGTAAAGAATATTTCAGATTAAAATTTTAGATTCTTTTTTTTCTATATGATGCGAATTGTAGAAATAAATGAAGATCAGACTTCTGAATATTGGAAAGTTTGAAACAAGAAAGAAAAATTGTTAATATTTTTCTAAGTATCAAAATAAAAAAAATTGTTTAGTAAATAGGGATCTAAAATTCATAGTGTTTCATGTCATCCTAGATATGTTTGAAAAATTCTATTTTTTTTTTTTTTTTTCCATAAACTCCATCCACTCCCACCTGAGTGGCAGTGGCAAGAGCTGTGGGAGACGCGGCAATGATTTGTGCTGGCGAAGAGTTTCCCTTAGATGAATCCGCGCTGTTGAGACGAACAACTCCCACCGTCTGTTGCTGCTGCGACTGTCCTCCTCCATTTTGTGTCTGACTCGATGATGGATGCGACGAGGAATGAGGCGTCGCTTGTTGTATTAAAGCATTAGACTTTTCGTCATCTTCGCTAAACGCTGGTAGAAGATCTTCTCTTCCGTGATATTTGTAACAATTTATTACGATTTGCCGCAACGCATGAGTCCAGGAGATCTGTAATGGATTGCACTGTCCCAATTCATACGTTTAACATCTAATTAATAAATTCTTGAAATAGATTATTCAATCAAGTATTTTATATTCATTATCTTTTATCAAATATACAGAACAGTAAAAGATAATTTATTTCTTGTACATATATTATATTTCCAAAAATTTAATTTTTTTTCTCTGTATTTTATATTTTTAATATTTTAAAATGATGATGTATAATAATAAAACAAATTTATGACTATTTAAAGATATTTTGGTTTTGGAACAGAATAATACAATAAACAAAAAATTAAAAATATTCTTATCGAATTTACGTACTTTTTGTTTTTCGTCTTCCGTTCGCGCATCCATTCGAACATTAGCCCAAGGTAATTCCTTGGGCCACCAAGGAGGTCGCGTACTATCTCTTCCCCAACCAGGTTTACCTCTGCCTGTAGAATACTTTAACATCAACGGGATGAATGCTCTAAGTTGTGCCTGTGTCATCTTTTCGACCGGAGTTGGTATACCATCGATTATAAGCGGTGGTAATTCGAATAATGACGGATCATCCTGCACAGGCGGAGGCGCTTGTTGCGCAAGTGCATTCTCCAGCTCCTCCATGATAACGGTCCTTAGATTTTTAACTACGTCCTCTAAGGGCTTTGCTCCAAAGACTTTGTAACTACTATTTGGTTTGCCTGGCGTAGCCACTAATACTACTGCTTGTTGTCCAACTCGGGTAGCAAATTCGTCAATAGTTTGCTATAAACAGTTCGATAATGATATTGTAAAATTCTAAAATATACTACTGTGCTAGAATAAATATATACGTGGAAATACAAGAACGCAAGTAATAATGAAAATACAATATTGATAAATTATTTAAGAGAATTTAAATCAAAAGAATATAAAAAAATACTTGTAAGAGCCAATACTACAATATCATAGATATACATATGTCAATCACATGTATCAATATCTGTGTATATCATGTTTATATACATGTATATTTACATCACAGTCAAAGTGTTAACTCGGTAAATATATACATTTACTATAGTCTATTGTAGTCAATGTATACATTTACTGAAGTTAGTACTCTGATTGTGACATATATATAAATTTGTTCTCATATGACAATGTAAATGTGTTTTGATCTTCGATTTGACTTATTCTATATAATATAATACCAAAAATTGCATAAAATATGAAGTACAATAATCAAATTTAATAAGAATCTGAACTGTCACACAGAATTGAGTACCAAAAAACAAACATAAGACGCAGATAATTTGCACGGTTCTTATTAAATTTAATTATTGCACTTCATATTTTATGTAACTTTTACTGTATTATTTATATTTTTATTATATTTGAATTTTATATACTGAGGAACCAAATTGTGGGTCGAAATGTTTCCGTAATTCTAATACGAGAATAAGTTTATATGTACACATGTCCTTCCAGTGTTGGCTTTATAGATATTTTTAATATTCTTTGGATTTATATTCTTCAGAGCCTAAATTATTTACGTAGGAGAGTTTCACTTACTCTAAGCTTTCTTAAAAGCCTGTTTTGTTGTCTCTTTCTGATACTGGGATTAGTTTCAAAACTGTGAGGTCGTTTTCGCTTCTTGGCTGACACAATGGCAGCTGCAGCAGCGACGCCTACAGGTCCTAAAGATTTTTTAATACAAAAAAAATATTTCAATTGTTTCATAATATTTCTTGATATGCCAATATATATAAAGAACCAAAATAAAAAAAGTTTTATAAATATTTTCAAATTCGCATTAACATAAACATTTATTTACAAAAAAAAGAAAAAAATGAAAAAAACTCAATACTGAAATAAAAAACAAAATAGACTGATAAGAGTGCAGCGCAATATTTAATGCGCTAATTGATAGTATAACGAATTCTATATTTATTGTTATTCTTATATGTATTTCGTTTATTTATTATTATTTTCACGTTTTACATTGCTGTGTGAATTTTTATACAAATTAAACAAATTTCAAGCTTATAATTAGACTAACTTATAATTAGACTTTAAATTAATACTAACATAAGAATGTAAATACTATATAATAATCTAAATACAATTTATAAAATAATATAAAATTACAAACGTTTCGGCTTACAAAGCCTTCTTCAGTAAAGCAAAAATACACGTTATTAAATTAACGAACCAATTAGATAGCGCATATAATGAAATAAAAAAAACCACCAGTAATAATGTGTCAATTCATATAAAATTCAAATGTCAAAATGTGAAAACAGTTACATAAAATAAGAAAAATGAAACAATTCGGTCAAAAGTAGAGATATCCTCCAATAAAAATAATTTGGCCAAATTCCTCGAATATGTTATGATATTCTGTGGAACGAGAAAAAGTATCAAAATAATATAATATAATTAGTGTGAATGAGAAATACAGAATCAAATTATAATTCACGTTAATTTATATAAAATACTGTAATTAAATATCTGAATCGGAGATCTGATCGAGTACATTAAAATTAAAAATTATCTGTTACTTTAAAAATTGACTGATGTGATATGTAGGTCAAATAAAAGTAAGACAATAAAATCGAATGTAAAAAACAAGTCTGTTCAAAACTATGACAATTTATGTTTACGTATATAATATATAATATATGTCATTCAATGTTAAAATATGTTAAAATAAGAGATGTTCAATAATTCGGTATCTTTCATTAAATTTAAATCGTTTTTTTGTTTAATATAAATCATTTCAGAAATATTTCTTTTGCGATAATTCTTTTTAAAATCAAGTATACTAATTTTTTCCTAATTAAAATTATAATTGAGATTTTTAATTACAGTATTTTATATAAATTAACGTGAGTTATGATTTGATTCTGTATTTCTCATTCACACTAATTATACAATATTATTTTAATACTTCTTCTCATTCTACAGAATATCATAAAATATTCATAACAATTCGAACTCTCAAATCGATTGATTCAAGTCTTCAATAAATTGGATCCCCATTTTCAACCGAGGAATTTGGCAAAATTATTTTTATCTGAGGATATCATGTTAATCTACTTTTGATTTGAAGTATTTCATTCTTCTTATTTTACGTAACATATTATATCTTAACATATTTTAATATTCAAATTTTATATTAATTGACACATTACTGATTGTTTTTTTATATATATATTTTATTATGCGCTATCTAATTGATTCGTTAATTTAATAATGTATTGTTGTTTTATACATTGAAGAAGTCTTTGTAAGCCGAAACATTTGTAATTTTATATTATTTTATTAATTGTATATAGATTATTATATAGTATTTACATTCTTATGTTAATTGTATTAATTTAAAGTTAGTCTAATTATAAGCTCGAAATAAACCATGATTTTGTTTAATTTGTTTTGAAAATATACAAGAGCATTTTTACTCTAACTTTTATAATTTGAATCATTTCTCAGTATATACCTCGTTTTCGACGTTATTAATTACCATTTTATCTCTGATACTCGATTAATATCCATTTCTACCAATGTAGAATGTTTAATTTTAATCTTGGTTCAACTCTAAAAATTAGAAAAAGATAAAGAATTGAGCCAAGATTAAAGTTATTCTACATTGGTAGAAACAAGCATAAATCAGTTATAATTTTATCATTTGACATTTATTCTGACTATATCACTGTAGACTTTTACATTTATATCGAATTTTTCTTTGTTTACACGCTCTTGAACTCTTCAGATAAATTATGTTTTGTTGATCAATAGATCAATTCGATTTATAATAATTTGTGTTGCAAATTTAAATAAATCACAGGCTATATATTTGCCTCGTCTTTAGTTTTCTTTACATTATTTTCTAATCACAGTAAAGAATCCTATCTTTGAAATTGGTAATTAATTAATGATCCATCTTCTATTCGAAAGTGAAATTAAATAGTATTAATTTTTATTTTCGAGGAAAATAATTCCATGCGTAACTGAAACGTCCGACGTTAATTATGTTAACTAAAATGTGTTATGCATATTACCAATTTGCGCACAATAGAAAACTAATAATAAGTACCGCGCCGCATTCTCATTATCCCATTTTGCTTTTCATTTTTCTTTATTTATATTTGATTTATTTATACAGCAAAAAAATTTTATGACATTGGCATACCAAAAATGTAATTGTATTTCCAATACATACAAAACAAAGATGCGTAAGTAACAATAAAATGAAATGTGATTAAAATCAAAATTTATTTAAGAAGTATGAATATAAATGATTGAATAATTATGATATTACATTGGTAAATAACCATAGTAAACAAAAAAAACTTCTATATATATATGTATATATATATGTTTGACTGAGAAAATGCAAAAAAAAATATAAAACATAAAAAAAACCAGAAATATAATAGAATCTGAAGATACATTTCATCTATAATTCATTTCTGGATAAAAGTACAGAAAAATATTGGACTGTATTCATTGTGAAAAATTGAGAAACGTTTTACCTATTTAAATTATTTCATTTTTCAAGGAAAAAATATAAATGTCATTTCTATAATATTATATTCTGATTTTGTCACTATTATAATAAATAAATCTTCATTTGAATAAGAAAGTAATTCAAGGCAATATTCTGATTTTTAACTTTCATGATAAAATCTTGTATTAATTATGAATACAATCCGTTGTCATTCAACACTAATAACATAAAACAAGTAAACACACAAACACGACAAAATGCACAATAACAAAGAGTCAAATTATTAATGCATAAATCATAGACGAAAATATTCATTAGTAAAGCAAAAAAATATATATTATCATGCTAGTCTATAGTAAAAATTATATTTTTTTATTTAAAAAGCTTCCATAAATATTATCGTAAAATGATTTTGCAAATAATGACATTCAAATACAAATTTTATATATATATATATATTCTGTGGAAAAAAACAAACTGGCCAAGAATTAAATGATTTATGAAACGTTTTAATTTGACATCTTTTAAACTCAATATGAAATATTCTAAGATATTTATTTTTAAAAAATCTTATTTTAATATTATGCATAGAATAATGAGATAAATTAACGTAAAATAACATCGTTTTTGAAGAAGTTCAGATTGATAAATAATGAAAATTATCTTTAATAATAGAGATATACAAAGATTGAAAATGTACAATATAATTTTAATAAGTCATTTTATATTATACACAGCATATAAAATAATAAATATATTTTTTTGTATAGCTACATTTATAAATACATATATATGTTTATTTATGTAAAGCATCAAATTCTCTTACTTGAAATTTAGTGTTCTTGCAGGAAGTTTAGCCATAATGCTAAATAACACTCTTGCAGAAAGATAATGCATCCTGCATATTTTGGTTGATCCATAAATAAAGGTGGTTAGGTAATAAACAAAAATGAAAAAGCGAAAAAAAATGGGAAATCACCATTAATGTTTTTGATTTGCCAACCTGCTGCGGCTAGTTGAGCTGTAACATCGTCATCCATTGCAGCTGTAAGCAGATCTCCTTCCTCGTAGGTTTCAGACCCGCTACTGGGATCATCATCGTCGTCATCTGAAAGCCTGCGCATCGTGCTAGTCTCCGCATCTTGCATGGACACCATGTTTACCTGTTTGTTAGCCGTTTTGGTATCTTGAATATTGTAATCACACCGTAGAAAGTTGTGATGTCGATTTGGCAGTTTCAATTTCTTCTTCACATCACCTTAGCCTGAAATGACAAAGTCTTTACTTGAAAGTTCTTTAATGAAATTCCTGTAGTGTACAATTGTCATTAAAATAATTCAGAAATACTGAACGTGTAAAAGATGCATCAAGACACTCGAGAGATTCATTGACCGTACTATTATATTATTCTTAACATTTTCCGTATATTTACATCGCTTGCTGGAAACTGGGGAGCAAAAAAAAAGGCGAAAAGCACGTGTTTCCTTTCCGGAGGAAGGGGAAAGGAGAAAAAAAACACAGAGGTAAATTAGGGTATATACATTTCGCACGATTGACGAGCTGCGAACGGCGGCGTGTACCAGCAGGCGACGGATGGAAGACTTCCACATGGAAGACTTCCGCGTCTCGCACGCATATTTCTCCTGATGGACGAGTTAGCGTGCGAATACCCACGCAGATATAAAGGAGTACAGCGGAAAGCGATGACGGCGACGGTGAGGGCGACGATAGAGGTGGGGGGGGGCCGCGGCCCCAGC